CCCTGCCTGTAGCACAAGTCACTCCAATGAAGGAATATGATACATCCACAACCTGTGAGAACCCCTCCCTCAACCCTTTGCTTCGACTCAGGCACGTAACTGTCTGCGTATCCATTACTTGAAATTTAAGCCCATATAAAGGCTTTGCGCGGTGGCCATCTTGCAGGGCAGTTCTCTTATTCCACAGGGCAACTTCCTTTGTGCATATACCTGGCGGAAAAAGCACTGGCTTGCAAGATGGCAGCCATGTGAATCTTTAATACTTAAATTCGGTTTGCACAGAGATTCACCTCGATTGTCACTCATCGTCCACAAAATAATCACCATCACCTTCACCGTGTGCTGTTGTATGGCGCACATTAGTGACGTTAATTAATTTAAAGTGGGTACCTTTTGATTATTTCAAGATATCTCGAAATGGATATTAAGATATCAGTTAATTGTTTTTGAGAAATCTTGAAATCCATTTTAAGATATCGAAATTCATTTGGAGATATGTTGAAATCCATTATAAAAGATATCTCAAACTCATCTGCAGATATCTTGAAATCCATTCGAAAATATCTCAAATTTATTTCGAGATATCCTGAAAAAGATATAGAGCTATCTGAAAACTGTTTTTAAGATATCTGACAAAAGGATTTCAAGATATCTTGAGATCGAATTACAGATATCTGGAAATCCATTTCGAGATATCTTTAAATCAATTTCGAGATATCCTTAAATCGCTTTCAAGATATCTGGAAATAAGTCAGTTGAATGCTATGCCGGGTCATTCGGGAACGAAGCGGGATTGGCTGCGGAGCATGACAGCTCTCGCTGGGCACTCGCATTTGTTATTCGCATAATGAGATCTGAAGCACAATCGTTTAAGTCATGCGCTATCGGTTTATAATTTGGAGATATCTCGAATCGATTTAAAGATATCTTGAAAACGATTTGAATCTTAAAATGCATTAAAGATATCTTTAAATAAATTTAGAGATGTCTTAAAATCATTTGGAGATATCTTGAAAATGAGTTCAGGATATGAGTTCAGGATATCTTCATATCTTCAAGATTCCAAGATATCTTGGAATCAATGAAAAGACGTCTCAAAAGCCTCAATCGAAGGCTTTAAGTGTCGAGAGTTTTTCAAGATATTTTGAAATAATTAGAAATATCTTTAAATAAATGAAGATATCTTGAAATAATCAAAAAGGGACTTCTTTAACTTAAATAAACATAACACAGCTCAAAAATATCACATTCTTTGTCTTAATGTCTCTATTGCCTGTTTCTGCCACCCTAACCTGCTTCCTTTGTCATTCCTGTCTCCATCACTGCCTGCAACTTTGGCATTGTAAACGGTACGTGTATAAAAAATTCTGAACCAAACTGTGCATGTAACGTTACCATTACCATGACATGTTCTTGTTCAAATGAAGATTGTTAACGAATGTCGCACTATTGACAACCTTGTAATCTGTCGTCCATGTCCGCGTGCTTCTCAACAACCTGCGTCCACCCACCCCTCTCATTCTCTTAGCCGTCTTGTCTCCTCCTCGGCGCCTGCCCCCTTCGCGCGGTGATTAATTCTCATGAAGAGGAAAATAAAATGAGGGTATATGAAGGCCTACACAATCGCTCATTCGGTTCTTTCCCCCGTCAATCTCACCTCCCTCACGGTACGCCTTTAACATTCATTGCTTCTCCCTCGTGATATCATCCGTCGCAGGAGCTTGCACGCGTATATTTCTGGCGGCCACGAAAGCTTCAATCAATGTCATCGTGCCATTCAGTGTCAAAAGCACGCCAGGATCTGCCTCCATCCAGTCCCTCATCTTTTCTGTCATTGTCAACTGCGGCGGTTGCCGCGGTAACCGGAGTGAACCTTTTTTTCTCCGGGCACGTATATATTCGCCATGTGCAATTGTGCATACTCCCTTTCAGGTCAAGGATAAGATGCGCATCATAATCCGACCCCCCGCCTTTGATCGAAATTAATTTATAAGTCGAGGCAGCGGTCGCCCAAAGTGAATACAATTTGGCTTTCTTCCAACGCAAGCAATTTCGTAAAAAGCAGTTCGATAATAGCCGTAGTTTAAATCTCTCTAGAGGAATTCGTAAAAAGCCTCGATTTCTTCCAGACATTACCTTTCTCTGCTCGGTTCTTACCACAAAGGAACTGAGAGATACCATTGAAAGAACCTCAAAATATGTAAGATATAATATTATTTCATAATGTACATTTATCATTTAAAAGCTATTTCCACTTGTCCCCTCGTATTCTTTTCGAGTGGTTTCTCTCCCGACGAATTTATCCTAGGGCTTCAGCGTCTTACAGAGAGGCTGATGGCCAAGCTCTGGAAGTCAACCAATCACCCATCAATTACATCAGCAATTTGCGGCGATAGATATAATTCATGATTTTTCCGGCCGGGGGAAGTTGTAAGAGCACACGTTCACGGAGTTATATTACAGTACCTTACGAGGACACATCATCGAAATGTACGCGCGCGAATGGAAATCATTGTAGAAATATACCACAGGGAGACAAAATGCGGAAATGGGAGCGAGTCATGTTTCCATTAAACGAGGTTATTACACATTGAAATGTATATTATTATACAGAATTCAGAAATAATGCAGAAAGTCTTGAGCCACGCTAGTAACTTCACACTGTGTGTATGCGTGGGGGATGCTTTATATATGGTGGTTTCATTTCAAGCAATCTTTTCCTCGAGTTGAGATATCTGTTACTAGGCCTATATCTGAGAGAGTGGGGTATTTTGTTTGTTTTCCGAAAATAGCTGACAAATTCCCGTAAACACATTGCAAATGGCTGACTTAGCATTGCCGGGGAATATTATGAAATTTGCCTACCTAGGGTCTTTATCTATCGAATCAATCAAAGAAACAAAATCATTTTAGAAAATTCGAGGCTCTTCCTTCATAAATAAAACATTCCTCTTTCATTGAAAATATTTTCGGTTATACTTAGTCTGATAGCGTCTTTGCCAGTGGCATAGCTAGGATTTTACCAGTGGGGACACAGAAGGGATACCAGCATCTTATGGGGGGGGGGTAACTTTCAGTGGTGTTTTTTTTTTTTGGGGGGGGTTATGTTAGCCTTGTTCAATATCCATTCATCCGTTTCTGTTCAGTGGGGGAACCGGGAATTCGTGGGGGGGGGACGTTCCCCCAGCCCTCCCCCGTAGTTACGTCACAGGTCTTTGCACCTTTTTGGAACATCATAATATACAGTGTTGTAGGAAAATTCTAACTTTCATGCTCTCTTCGTCGATTAAAATCGCCTTTAATTTAGTCGTGATTTTTTTTATGCCCCGTACAGTAATCAAGTTCCATCCCGAGCCATGAAATGAAATGCACGTCGACAAAACGTAACTCTTGATAGCTACTGCACCCCCTCCAACCACCAAAGACACACCATCTTTATTTTTATTTATCTATTTTCCTTTTAGAGAACTTCCAAATATTGTCACTCCATTTGTCATAAAATTTGTTATGGGCTAGTTCTCTGACCTTGACCAGGGTTCTCTCTATGGTATTCCTTTCTCGACGCTCATGGTCACTATATACCACCTTGAGAACTTGTCATGGGGGGGGGGTGATTCGGGCAAATCAAACCCTTCACTAATGTCCGTTCCGGGTTTCTTTTAAGTTATACATGTAAGTGAAAAGTCCATCGCTTCTGAGGAACCCTTTGTTTCATTACCAGAAATACTTAATAATTATACATCCATTGCATATTTTTGTACTCACAGAAAGAAGAGACCAACTTTCCAGAAAAATGTACTCCCTTACCAACATCTGTGCATACACATTTAACCATGGCAATAAGATTAAAAAACATTAAAAAATGTCAGGGAAGAAACACAATTATGCTGTGGTAAATTTAGTACTTCGTGACGTTCTGCACGTCCTCTTTTAACGGGTATAGAGAAACTTGTAAAAGCGGAAGGAATTGAAGTTGTAAAACATCGGTAATCTTTGAGTAGTTCCTGGAATCAATTTCCACTCAAGAAGTTCATAAGTATTCGTGTCGAAACGCCCTGCCGATGTCAGACATGGATAAGTATCGGACTGTACATGTACATACCTCAGCTGAGCCCGTCATGGGTATCTGTCACATTTGTGTAATTTAGTTCAAAAATGATTTCCTGCGGTTGTTTGTTTTCATATTATAATGGTGTTGTTTTTCAGAGTTCAATGTGCAACGGTCAAGTGGGCTTGACGTGAATTGGCAAGGCGTATCTTGGTTTTCCTCAACAATTAGCCTAAACACGCAGACAAGTGAATGATTACACTTGAAGTCATGGGTGCACCAGGCCATTGTTCCCTGCTGAAAAGGTGACCCGTTTCTCAGGAGGATTCCCCAATAAGGAAGACAAAAAAGATGACCCTCTAAGCAAACACACTCGCCCTCCAAGAGCACCCCCCCAAAAAAAATCTGTGATCACAGGCTGACTGGCGCGGCATTTCTGTGAGCCAGAACTATGCTACGTGCATTCGATTCTTTTTGGCTGGCTAGATGGAGAGCATTTTAGCGTTAAGATCGCATCTTCTCCGTTCAGAAGACAGAACTTCTGTTTCCAAGGAGTCAGGTATGCAAATTGCTTCCCCTTTTGGGTGAGAAAGTACCCAATCAGCGAGCGCAAAAACCTTCGCAATGAGCTGCATGTACAGGATACATGTACGCGTTTATTTTGTGTGTAGTGGATTACGTGTACTAGACTATACAGCAGTCTGCGCGTTGTAATGGCATAGAGCACGCACGTTCGTACATGTGCACACGTTGTATCGATGTCCACATGATGTATGGTTACGTGACGCTAAGTTGTACAAGCACGTTCATCATGTGAAAGTTGAAGTTGAAACTCGACTGAACTGATCTGTGCAACGCTGACAGCATCTCCTGAGCTTGCAGAAAACATCCCCAGAACCATGGCGTCAGGAACATTTGGCCAACTTATCGCCTCGGTGTTTTCCTATTTCAGGGACAAGAGTTGGTTTCTGAGGTGGCGAGGAGGGGAGAAGCGCACAGACATGGACGACGAGTTGCAGGTAGGCTGAACGTTAGCGAATCACTGCACCACCAACGGCGAGGTTGTGTTACAAAATATTATAATTGAATGTTTGATTGGCGCCGGTTATGAAATCTTCCAAGACAATTGTGGCCCAATTTGTTCTTGGTGTCATTGGTTATGGTACAATCTGTCTACTTGTATGTAGCTTTGCTTTCTTACTGATCCCGTAATCAGCATTGGCCCTAGTATAGTAGAGAGTTTACAGAGTACGGGTGCCGAACACACAACAGAAAAATAGCGATCCGGTCGACCGGTCAACTACGTGACTTCAGGGTTGTTGGGGGTCGCTACCGGTATCCTGATAAATTAGCCTGCGTACTTCCGGGATGTGGAACTAGAAACACAGCAGTTACCTATCTGACAACTTTTTTTTCTTTGCAAATTAAAAGTGACACTGACAGCTCTGTTACTGAAGTGGCACCGTTCCAATTTTTGTGGTTTTGTTCACAAGGCTGCAGAAATGGCAGCTAACCAGCAACACCATGCAATGCATAGTTCTGAGACCACACTTCCCTCATAAAAAAGGGAAGGGTTCCATATTTGGTTACTGTTACTCTCAGGTTTCATAAGCACTAAGAAGTGTCTCCAAGGAACCGACAAAGTGAGTTGGAGTGTGAGTGGGAACAGGTACATTGATTGAACTGTAGCCACAAATCACCATGGCTGTCGAAAAGTTAAATGTACATGTAGTTTTAAATGGTATGAAAATCTGGCATATACTGTACGTCTGTTATGTATATCAGGTAGATCAGTTCTTATCTCATAAAATCAGTTCCACAGCTACTGCTCTGGTTTTGTAGCCATTTTTTAAACGTACATCACAGTATAAAATGTAAACACTTAACAGCATCAATGTTAATCAGATTTTGACAAAGGAATACTTGTGAGATACACTAAAATTTCTGTAGAATTGTTGGGCCTCTCAGTGAGTTTCTTGAAACATCACATAATTTTAAAGAAAATGTCAAGTACTTGCAGTTACTCCATGGTTACTAAATGAACAGAGGTACATGTGGTATGTGGATTAAACCATGTTGAGCTTTGTGCTTAAAGAAGTTCAAGTATTTTATACTCATTGGTTTCTTCAGCAGTACTATTATGAAGTGGATTTGTGGACATTTACCTTACCGAAACATGATACATGTATCAAGATACAGTACTAACATGTACATATCCTTGCATCTAGTTTATTGCATCAAAGATACATACGCATACATCATGTACGATACCTAATATCATGTCATGAATACAACATGAAGGAATTCTTGGGACTGTGCCAACAGAATAGAAAATCACCGTGGTCCTCTTTTTACAGGTGACCTTCCCATGAGACAAAGACTGATGCTTCTTTTTTTTTACATGCAGCATGGCAGTTTTTAAAGGACAATATGTACATATGCACAGAGCTTTCGGTCCTTTTTCAGTTTGGACCCAGTCTGACCATGATATATCATATATCCATACATCAAAACAACCGCTGGAACTTTTTTCTTTTCAAAGGCTTCATTATGATTTTGTTTAATGCGCTGCTACATGTATTTGAAACAGTAATTGATAATATACATGTAGTCATTGTGATGGTTTTTCAATAAACATCAAATGACGTTCGGCTGTTTGTATCTGTCATCTGTGACATTATAAAGATTTTTGCGAGGTGATCTTCATGGTTAATTCATTTTGGCCTGAATTCCCAGGTGCCCCCAAATACGGTTATCTGTCTCTGGCAAGACAATGTGACGATCAGTTGCTTACGGTAACTGTCAGCGCGCATGTTATACCTCTTGAACTGATGACTCTTTTGTGTTGTTTTTCATGGGGATCAAATGAGTTTACAAAGAGACATTGACATCGGTGTGTTTTTGGCCAGTGATGCAGGTGACGTGCATTGTTCTGATATTAATGACGTTGAAAGCAGAACGCGATCCCCACACAAAGGCAGTATTCATAGGCTTTGTAGGACATTGCATACAACCGTACATGGACATGTAATATACGCACGGGCTCAAACAAAAGTCCTTCACCAACCTTTGTCTGCATTTTCCATTTCATTTTAAGCTGATAATGCAGTAGAAGAGATGGCCATGATCACTCCCCTGGCTTAATGATGATGGTTTTGAGTACACATTTGTCAACTGATTGGGCTCCAGGCTGCTAACTGAGTCAGTGTTTACACACCATGCTTGTGTATTACATTTGTGTACTGGGAAGTTAAGACCTCTTTTTGAGCACTTTAGAGTAAACATGCCTGGGTGTTGGTTAGTGTTGGACAAGGCAAAGTAGGGATATACCTGAGAGTGTTGCATTTTGGAAGTACACGTGTATGTAGATTTATGCATACATATGTATGTGCCAGTATATGAGATGTTCCGAACCAAGCGTTAATTGTCATAGTGCTGCATTGTACTGTGCAGATGTCTCCTCATATATCAAGTGTAGTAACTGCATTCTGTATGTTGTATTAGTCGTAATGTAATGAAGACGTCGTCCAACCTTGGGCAATGTTATACTGTCATTGAAAGTTTGAAACCCAAGACAAGAGCAATGTGGGGATGGGTATTGGTGAACAGTTTAATACGGTAGGTAATGCAGTAACACTATTGAAGTAAAGCACATGTACCAAGTGCCTGGGCTCCAGTCAAAGAAATCTCACTATCCCAACCCGAACATCAAACAATAAAGAAAAATTTAGTAAACATGGGAAAAAGGCATTAAATTGCCAATTCTGTCTCACTCCAAATGGTCATCAACAACCTGCAGAGATAAATATGAAGTCTGCTTTGAATAGCAGTTGACTTATATGGCCTGTTTTGTATTTAAAATCTCCCACATAAAAAGCTGTTAAGTTGTTTCTTTTCATTCGTCTGAAGTGTCATTCTGTAATCTACAGTGGTGGTTATGGATGGCTGGGTCTGTCATTGGAACTGGTCCTTGAAAGGGTTGGCCAGGCTTAGGGAAACCTGGTTCTGATGCACAGCTACAGGGGTTTGAAGTCTGATGATTGTTCCTGGTTCCTCTCACTTTGACAGAAGGGAATTTACATAGGAGATCTTGGGAAGGGAGAGAGATTATTTTGGAGGTTTACAGTACAGCAAGCTTGTTTTTCACTGTGCATCTTTAGTGATATGCAGGGCATACATTTTTCACATTGTGTAAACTTGTACAGTAGCATAAAGGAAATCCATGTTTCTGCAGTAATTGTGCTGCCATGACTTTCTCTGTGCCAATCTCTCTCTCAGCTCCCACACCAGTGACACCACGTACATACATGTAGATATGAGTACTGCACATGGCCAAAATGGCCCGTTGTGTGAATAATGCACAGTGTATCGTCCATATATGTGCCATACATCTGCATTGTTAAAGTGCAAAATGTTATTGATTCAAGTGCAGTGAAGTGAAGCACATTAACACTGTACAGTCTAGCAGATAAGACGGCTTCTGTTGTAAACAATCTTTGGTGATTCGGTAAGCTTCAAACTGAACGTCAAATAAAAAAAAATTGGATCTCTTTAAATTTAGGGGGAAACCACAAACAGATTAACCATTTTTCCCCATTTAGTTTCCCTAAAATGTATTCAACTGACATTTTCTGCATAGAGGTAGTTCACAAGTTGTCACTTATTGACATGATATTTGGCCAATTAATCAGTGTAAATGAAAGAGGAAGAAATTATATGAATTGTAGAAAAATTATACTTAGTGTTTGGTGTGTATCATTCTACATTTGTGTGTAATTCTGACAGAGTTACTTTCTGTAGGACACTGACCTCTCTCGATTATTCTTATGAGGAATGTGCATGTTTTGGTGTTAAAGGGACCATGAAATAGAAATATTTTACTAAATTGTAATAAAACCCTTGAAATTGCACCTCCGGGTTTCAATTTACCTGATTTAAAATTTGTGTTCTGGAATTTTAACCCATATTTTGGAGCTTTTTTAGCTTTTAGCTCACGCTCATTTGCATATTCATGAGCAAAACTATGATGTCATCCAAGGCACTGAGCCTCATTGATGCACTGATTTGTGCACAGAAAATGTCTAGATTTTTTTTAACACTTCTATCGTAGATTTCATTTCCTTTGGCAATTTATTGTTGTGTAAGTATATGGCCATAGGCAAGCAAGCGACCTTTTCACAGAAATGTTTTCAGATAGCAAATTTGAAGTTCAAAATTTGAACATGAAAACATGCAAACTGAACCATGTCTTCCGTGATTTACATCAAAGAAAAAGTGTTTGTGCAATTTGGAAAGTTTAAAAAGTGCACTTTTCAGTCCATGTAATTCAAAACCAAAGTCAAACTGTCTTGATACATTTAAGAAGAAAACAGAGACACACAAAAAGTGATTCTAAGAAACATTCATTTCATGGATCCTTTAAATTGCTGTTACTTTCCAAGCAGAGTACTGGCCAGGACATGTTGTGGAGTTGTTGACTTGGCCAACGTATATTTTCCTGCCACTTTATTTTATTGTGGTCTTCATCCCCTGCACAATGTGGCGCGATCCTTGAGAGAGACTTGATCAATGATGGCACAGATTTGTGAAGGCCGCTCTCTCAGTACTCAATAATGGGAGTGCATGTAGTGAATCTGAATTTGTGCTGGTATTTGTCAACATTTATGCAATAAACTGATTATGCCACTGTTGGGTTTTACTACCTAATTTAGCATGAGCTATCTGTTGAGTGTACATACAATCATACACCCTGCTGTTTGTCTTCCTGCTTCGTTGTGTTAATGGAATTCATATTGGAATTTTTTGTTTTGGTCAAGTTTGGAGTTGCGTTCAGACTTTTTTCCCTCAAAAAATTAATAAATAATAAATAAATTCGGAATCGGAAACTTGATTTTTACTTGAAATTTGGTTGATGTTAGTTTTTGTGCTTCATGCTTCTTTTTGCCAAATCTTCCTCATGGGCAAATTGGAAGAATAAAGTGGACCGTTTGTCTGTAGTGTTGAATCATCCAGCATCACC